ATAATATAAACATATCGTGTAAATTTCAATTCTCTGGAGTTATTCGTTTTTGAATAACAACAAAATAATAATATCGGTACAAGAGAAATGAGTGAATATCCAATGTTTTAATTTAAATGCACATACAAATTTAATTTGACTTTCCGGTAGACATTTTTTATTTGATAAAAGTAGACAAACTGATGAAAAACCTTGTATAGTATTTTCAAATTTTAGATTTAAAAAGATAAATTTTTATGAATTTCTAACACAAAATAAATTGCCAATTTTAGTGAATTTGACGTATCTTGTCAAAATTCGAACTTTCAATCCTTATTTTAAAAAAATTGTGACTATTTATTTTTAATTTTTTTAAGTCTCTCAAAAATTGATCTTACGTAAACATTTCCGTTTTTCCTTAATTTTTTTTTTTTGTTTTTCTCGGTAGTTTTGAAAACTACTGGGAATTTCAAAATTTGACCAGTCCAATGCAACAACTAGATTCATTTTCCAATCGGAAAAGTTACTTAAGTTTAAAATCGAAGCACTTTGTCGACGACAATTTATCGTGTACACATCATACATAAAAAAAAACACACACACATCATTGCAAAATCAATATGCCCCGCTCAGAATATAAATAATGACTAGGGCCTTAATATATACTGATTACATCAAAATTTTTAATAAATAGTCATGATGGACTAACAAAAATATATTTTTTTATTTTTAGCAAGATGTACAAGTAATCTTTTTAATTAATAATTATTATTTTATATATTATATGATATATTGATATTTTGAAAAGTTATAAAAGTAATACTCGTAGGTAGTTGATGTCATGTTTTATTGTATATCCTTTAATTATGGTTAAATAGCGGTTTGTACAAAGATATAGGTACATAATGTGTAGGTAATGAATCAATTGTAATTGTCAAGATATTTAGTGGCCCATTATTGCTTTTTTTTGAGAGAGAGAGTTAAATTAATCAATATTTATTATGATACTTAATCACAATTTTAAATGTTATAGAAATGCATGTGAAGCTATGTGGATATACTAGTAAGTTAATGTTGTAATTAACAGGTAAGTGATTTTATTTATATTTGATCCTTTTTTTTAAGTATATCTGTATATCAGACATTATAATAATCTTTGCCCATTGGTATTAATGTATTGTGATCTTAAGGACAATATTTTTAAGCTATTTATTTTTACGATACATTTGTATATTTGGAAAGAACCCCAATATTCATAAATTAATTTATTATTAGAAATGAACTTAATATTTTGATTATGAGGTATTTTATGATACCAAAATAATAAATATTGCAAATGGAAGAATGTATGCTGTTTTGCAATCTTGGGTTTCCATCTAACTTATATCTCATTTGTAAATCTTGTTTATCTTTTAATTAGTATTTTGAATGTTCGTTTCTACCACGAGAGATCTTTTTTACACATAATAACAGTTCTATATTTCTAAGTACTTATAATGTTGATTGGTTTTCGAGATATAGCTTCTCAAAGTATTGGTGGTTTTTATTATTTTTCCAATAATTTTAAAGTCCAGGAGCTAGTGATAAATTCGATATCGTTGAATCTAAAGTAACAAAATAAATAATAATTAAATAAAGATTACTATTGTATTTTGAAAACTAATCTTTTATTAATTTATCGACTAAATAGACATACCGAATTATTACCCAAGAATGATAAGTGAAAAACTGAAAGTATAATATGACAACATTATTTTAATCACAATTTCACTAATAATTATCTAAAAATTAAAATGGTATCACCACAGAATTCTATCGTATTACCACTAAAGACTTAGGTTATACCTTGATAAATCCATCACTGGTTCTATAATTATAATTTTCTGCAAAAAGTAAATAATAAATATAGGTACCTAGGTGATAATCATACGCAATGATGTCACGATTGAAGAAAGTCCTATCAATTATATAATAATATTTTAACATGAATTACAATTTACAATGATAATAATATAAATATTATAAATAACAATAATACTGATTAGTGTGGAGGTTTATCGTTTACAGTATTTACACACAGACTAATTAATAAGTATACTGTTGTAACAATTATTAGTAATAGGTTAATAAATTGTATGAATTGGTTTAGTTTACTTTTGTCGTTATTACACGTATGAGCAGTGGCGTGGCGATTGGGGTAATCGAGAGGCGGCCGCCTCTCAGTTTTTTTTGGTGGTTGACCAGTGTGGTTGGATGGGAAATAATTTGAATTCATAATAACGAATTTAGGAAAATAACACATAAAATTATATTTTAATATTGTCTAATATTGATATAAACGAAAGCTAGTATCCAGTAGGCAGTGGTTACTAACCATTAGTTGGTAATAATACCTGTCTAATAAG